CCCTCAAGTCCCGTTTCTCCCGTATGAGTCTGGGTCCCCAGAGACTCTCCCGGAACTGGAGCTCAGAGCCTGAGACTCCCTCCTGATTGAAAAAGACAATCATGTCCTCAGCCGCCAGCCCACTCTGCACGCACCTCTGCACCTTTGTATTTTACTTCCGCACTGCGCCTCCTCTGAGTCTCGGTGTGCTGTTCTCTTTCCTTCTAGTTGTAGGATTTCCCCTCAGCCAGCCTTCCTGTGGTGCTGGGTGATGTCCGTTCCGTCTTTAGTTGTATTTTTGAAGTGGTTGTGCGAGGCAGCCATCCCCGGCGTTAACCTGTGCCGCCATCGTGGTTTCTCCTCCTCGGGTTCTTAAAGGCTGGTTTTGTCACTGAACTCATTTCTCGCCCCATTTTGCTTTGTCTCACCTGCAGCTTTGCCCAGAGGAGCGGTGGGACCCTTGCCCCGTGGTTCCCAGAGTCAGAGGTTGGTGTGCTCCAGGGCACCCCTCCCCCTGTGGCTTCGTACCACCCGCCTGCAGGGCACCGGCCCCTCTGGATAGGGCGGGCTGTTACATAAGCTACTTGGCTGTACTTGTCCACGAAGCCGTGGGAAACACTTTGCAAATACCAGCTGAAATGGACACCGGGGCCCTGGGCCGTGTTGCGCAACGGTGCTCCGAGGCCTCGGGGACTCTCAGGCTAAGAGCCTGCACCCCGGGTGCCTGAGGAGGGCGGTGTTTCCTTCTCACCCCGGTGTCCGCATTCTTAGCACATTTGATCTTCCCACGCCTTCTTGGAGGGCTCCCACACCTGCCCGCCATGGGCCCCACTTAACCTGTGGTTAACCTCGTCCAATGGGAGGCAGCCGCTGGGCGCTCGCTCCTTGGGGTGCCGGCTGCTATGCTTCTAGTTTCCTCCCTCATCTAGAAGGGTGAGGGGTGAGGCTGCCACTGAGTGATCCGTTCTGGAATGTTTGTGTTGTGTCCAGGAGCAGCCTCAAGCTCATTGACCTGTGGTTTCCAGAATCTTCTTGGCTTTTTCTCTGCTTTCGTCAATGCACAGGCAGTTGGCGCGGACGTAGGACTCCTGCCCCGTCCCGTCCCGGGCTCGTGAGCAGCAGCCTCGTCGGAGGGCGGGAAGGCTGCTGCCT